CACTCCTCCATGTGCAATCAGTTGCCAAATCTGTTCAATCACTGTATCTTTGTCTCTTTGTCTATATCTGCCATTCTAACTTCCATCATTCTTGCCATTCAAATAGCCACCATCCTAATATACATCCTCATCCCATCTCACCTGGACTATTGCAAGAGGCCTTTTATTTGTACCCCTACCTCAAGTCTCTCCCCTTTTCAATCCATCTATCACACATATGCCAAAATGATCTTCCTAAATTATGCTCTTGATCAATAGTGGCTCTCTCTTGCTTCTAGGATATAAAACAATCCCTCTATTTGGTAAGGTACAACAATATTACAATTTTTAGGGCAGGATGGATGAGATTTTAAGGGATATGCCAAGCTGCCAAAAGGAGTTTTGAGAAAGAGTATGTTATATATGGATTGTTGACAGGAGACTTTGAACTATGAAATACTTGGGGTCCCAATTTCCATTTTCTCTGATCATTTAATTTGTGTTTCTTTGAGACAAGTATCTGTCAAAAGATGAGTCACACTGAAGAAGAAATATGGTGGCTCAGATTCCTAAAATCTAGCCACTGCTTATATTCTTATAATCTAGCCAATAGCTCACTAATGTTCAGACTCCTTAAGAGTCTGCCCAACATAACAGATATTCTAATAAACCTTGTTTTTGGCTGAAAGAAGGCTTGAGTTGAATTCTTTAGGTCAGGACCCATGTGTTGTGATATTGGGGTCCCAGCACCCTTAAATCCCTAAACCTCATCATTTTGGTGGCCTGTGCAGGGAAACTGCCTAACCCCAAGTTCTTCTCTAGCCAAGACTGGAAGATATGTAAGCCTCCCCCCCTCTTTCTTGCATTGCAGGTGGGGTTGCTCTCCAAGCACCAAGCCTTGGAGGTGCTTTTCGGGCAGACAGTTAAGAGGCTGTCTCACATTCAGCCTGACACTCTCAGGCTCTTAGTCCACTGGGTTGATTCGAAGCCATGGACCTGGATACACCTTCTGCAGCATAGAGGACAAGGATGGACACCCTATCTGGAAGTGTATGCCCAATTCTGTTAATTCTCTCAGCCCTAGAGAATTAGGGAAAACTGCAGTTGCTTTTTGGTTCCCTGAGGCTTACTTAGTCCCTTCCGTCTACACCTCTGAATCCTCCTTCATGGAGGTTACAGGGAAGAGTTAGAACATCTAAAAATATCTAGCAGATTAACAGATTGATCATTAAGGACTTTTGAAACACATCCTTACAACCCTAGTCACTTTTTTCTCTCTCCCTTCACTTGAGTCAAGAGGGTATCTGTTAACCCCTCTCATAAAAGAAAGTTTCACCCTTTACTCCTCACCTTTGATTTTGCCCTCCCCCACCTGGGAAAGGAAGATGGGAGGAGGGGCAGCAGTTACAGCGTGGGTCCCCCTGGCAATGGCCTTGAGTCCTGGGGCAACCTTTGCCTGGAAGCATCACCCAGGTTCAGCACATCCTGCTCAAGGTAATGAAGCTAGCCTCAGAACTTGGGTAAGAATGCTCTTTTAAATTTGTAGTTTTAACCGTCAATGATGAGATGTTGATTCTCTATGTAAAGTAATTTGGAAATGCATTTGACAAAACTGAAGTCACCTGATTGGTAATGGGTTCATTTCAAGTTTCAAATTGGTGAACTTTTTGTATCAGTTATGTCAAGCAACTTTTCATAATTTGGTTACCGCTAACATAATTTGGCTATTGCTTGTTGTTGTTTTAATGTGTAAACTAGCCAAAAAGTTTGTTTGGATTATGGCTTGCTGAGAATGTGCAAGTGTATAGAAATCTCTAATAATTGGTTTTTTATACCAGGACAAATTTAAGTTTGAGATGTAAATCTTGGAAAAGTTTTTCCTAAGCTGTGATTAATGAAACTTGCTGTTTAAGGTAAAAGCTCCTAGGATTTTATTTTGAGTTGTCTGATGGATCATAATAATCCATCAATAATCAATAATCCACCATCTCAGAAATGCCATGAACTACTCTGAAAGAATGTGATACTGGTGGGAAGTCAGCATTGGGAAAAAGCTGAGAGGACAATTTTAGCCTCAGTCTAAGATGGTATCCTCCTGGCTCAGTTTCCCCATTATGTTCTTTTTAAAAGGAATGTTACCCACCTGGCTATTCCTGAGTCTGGTTATGAGGTGGATTTGATACTGCATGGTTGGAAAACTTATCTGAATCCAAATAGAGCTAAGGATGTTTTATCCTGTCATATCTGGGCCCTGCAGTCTTTTCTGTCAGATTTGTGTCTTCCAGACTACAGGCCAGCAAACATCAGGTACCATTTAATGTCCCCTACATCAATCCCTGGATGCAGCCTGTGCTCAGTTCCAGTCAACCTCCTTTTAGGCACCCTCTTGAGGCAGGGACAGCTCTATGCCCCTTGCCAGCAGGAAGCAGTTTCAGAAGCCAAGACCTTCTCCCCTTACCCCAAAAGAATTTGGGTCCCATTCGTTTGAGGGGGGAATGATGAGGATGGGAGCTAGATCCCAAAAAGGAAAAACCCCGGACTTTCCCATTTGGCCAAATCTCTGGTGTTCTCCTAAGGCTATAATCCCATCAAATGGCCTTTCATTGTGGACCTCCCTATGGCCCCAGGCCACTTCCCACCCTTAATCTATCTAGGCTCCATTCTCCCTTGGTCATGAGGTCCAGGTTCCTGGAATTCTATTACCCCTCCTAGATCCACTCCTGTAGCCTTAATGTATGTAATAAGGTCCATTTTGTCTCCATAAAGGTGCTCAGATTCCTAAAATCTAGCCACTGCTCTGATTTTTACAATCTAGCCAATAGCGCACAGATGCCCAGATTCCTTAAGACTCTGGTTAACATTGTGGATCTTTAATAAACTTGTTTTTGGCCATAAAAAAAAAAAAGCAATACGATATCAATTTCAGGAGTATGTCTCTTTTGGGGCAGCTAGGTGGCACAGTGGATAGAGCACTGGCCTTGGAGTCAGGAGGACCTGAGTTTAAATCTGGTCTTAGACACATAACACTAGCTGTGTGACTTTGGGCAAATCACTTAACCCCAATTGCCTCACCAAAAAAAAAAAAAAGAGAGAGAGAATAACTCTTTCTAAATCATTGGCCCACTTCCTTTCTGAGGCCATTTAGCATTTAAGTTTTTGGCTCTCTAGTCAACAAGATGAATTTTGAGAAGCGGCTTAAGTTGGGCTGGTGGCTTAGGACTCAGTTTCTGACAAAGGACTTAAGTGTTTCACCTCTGCTCTCACAACTCTCTAAACCCCTGAATTACTTCTCGGGACTCTCAAGGCCAACAGAATTTATTGTGATAAGCTTTTAAGAGTCTTCCTACCTGTGGCTGTTGCAAAGAACCATAAGGCAGAAGACCCACCCTCATGCCTGGATTGTTTTCTTAGGAAAACAGCTATGAAAGGGGCCAAGTTGGTCTTTAATTCTTTCAGCTAACATTTTGCAAGCCTCCTTGAGCATAGTGTTAGGGTTCCCCCTTTTCTTTCATTGACATTTTAGCTGCCCAGCTAATAATGCATTGTATATCCCCCTCCTCCAGTAAAACCTATTCCCCAGAATCACAGTATGTCAGAGTTGGAACAGAGAGTAGAAGCCATCTGGTCTAACCCACATGTGACCAAGAATTTTTTCTATAGCATACATGACAAATGGTCACCCAAACATTGTTTAAAGACCCCACAGTGAGGCAGCTTATTCTACTTTTGAACAGTTTTACTTGCTAGGATTTATTTCACCCCTAAATCAAGTCAGAATTTGCCTCTCAGCAACTTCCATCGCATTCATTGTTTGAAAATGTGTCCTCTGGGGCTAATCAATAATAACAGCTAATAACAGCTAATATTTTAATAGTGCTTACTATGTGCCAGGCACTGTGCTAAGTATTCTAAAATTATTATCTCCTTTGCTCCTCACAACAATCCTGGGAGGTAGTTGCTATCATTTTCTCCATTTTACAGATGAGGCAAACAGAGGTTAAGTGACTTACCCAAGGTCAAGTAACTAGTAAATATCTGAAGCTGGATTTGAACTTAGAGGTTCCTAACTCCAGGGCAGGTGCTATATCCAACTCTACACTATTAAGCACATTTCTTTGGGACTAAGTAGAACATGTCTATTCCTTCTTCCTTCCAATAATAAAGACTCTAAACTGTTCATCTTTAAATATACCCATTTCCTTTAACTGATACTCAATATGACATGGTCTTAAGGCCTGTTACCTACCTAGCATCCCTCTTCTGAATGCTCAACATCCCTTCAAAGATGTCACTCCTGTCACTACACTTTCAGATGTAAAAAAAAAAAATAGGGCAGATGATTACTTGCCCTGGCTATGAAAATATGATGTTTCTCTTCATGCAGTCTATCAATTTTGGCTTTTTGGTTACCATATCAAATTACTGTGTCATACTGAGCTTGAAGTCCACTAAGACCCTAGTGTCTTTCAGAACTGCTCTCTAACCACATCTCCTTCTATCCTTGCCCCACAAACAGGTCAGCTTAGCACAGGAAAAATGAGCCACAGATGTCCTTTCCTCTCTCAGTTTCCTCATTCCTTTCATCTTCTTTTCCCTATTCATGTTGAACTCCAAACCAATTTCTAAAGCCCAATTCAAATTTCCCCTTGCATCATAGTTTATAATCATAGGAGTTCTAATTTTCAACCTCAAGTCCACTAATTGAAAATCCTGGCAACTGAAATCTTAATTGGGCATTTAAATATACCCTGCATTGTATTGTTTCTTATGATTCCATGTGTGGTTGTTTTATTTATCCAACTAGATTATCATCTTGTACTAAAGGGGAAGGACCAGGTCTCACCCTCTGTGTCCCCACCCCATCTCACCATACATATGGTGCATAGCTCAGTGCTGAGCTATCCACAGAAGAGGGTCGGTAACAACTGCTGAGTAATTGATCGTTCTCTGAAGAGTTGAGCTAACTATGAACCTCGCATTTCACTTGAGAACCAAAGAGCAAACAGATGATTTCTACTTACTCACAAACTGTAGGGAAGGACAGACCCACGAAGGCACTAGAAAGATATTCTGTATACATTTCATTGGAGACTCCTTCCAAGTAGTATTTCTGCCACGTGTCTTCCTCAATCTGAAGGGAAAAAGCCCAAAGATTGGGTTTTTAAAAAGGATCAAACTCCTCAAAGCAAAACTTAAGGTACATTAACAGGTCACCAAAAATATGAATCCAGGCATGGACCAGTCATTCTCCATGTCAATCCTGTTTGCTTCCATTTGCCTTATTTATACTCTCAAATTGGGGTTAGCTAGGTAACACAACGAATAGAGTGCCAGGTCTGAAATCAGGAAGACTAGTCTTGCTGAGTTCAAATCTGGCCACAGATACTTCCTAGTTGTGTGACCTTGGGCAATCACTTAACCCTGTTTGCCTTAGTTTTCTCACCTGTAAAATGAGCTGGAGAAGGAATTGGCAAACTACTCCAATATCTTTGCCAAGAAAACCCCAAATGAGGTCACAAAGAAGCAGGCATGACTGAAAAATGACTGAAATATCAGTTTGCCTCAGTTTCCTCATCTGTAAAATGAACTGGAGAAGCAATTGGCAAACCACTTTAGTATCTTCGCCAAGAAAACCCTCAATGGGGTCACAAAGAGTCAGACATGACTGAAAAATGGCTGAAATACTGTAGAAAATGTTAAAATTAAAACTTAGTTTCTTCTTATAACAATTATGTAATTATAGTTATTATTGTTATTGTTACAATTAATATTTTATAAAAGTGCCAGCTATCTTTGACTGGGATATAACATGAATATTTTTGAATTTTTTCTACAAAATTTTTAACATTTTTCCCCTACCTATAAAGTGCCACACAGTAAAAGCCCAACAACTGGAAAGATATTCAGAACATTTCTGGAAACATAAAACAGTCAACCCATACTCATCTATTTCCAAAAGTATGTGTGTGTATGTGTGCATGCGTGTGTGTGTGTGTGTATGCTGAGCCCTAGTACATAATTGCAGAGAATTTTTAACCCATTGTCATAAACCTTTGTTTGTATAAAACCAGACTGTAAGTTCCATAATAAATGGGCCCATTATTTATGTTTCACTTACATGTTTTTAGAGGATCTGATAGATAAAGGCATTCCACATATAAATATGTATTACATCACTGATTGGGTAAATAAATAGCATTATTAAAAGATGGATCGCCATCATTTCAAAAAGTATCCATATTACCAAAGAGCAGAAAAAAGCAGTAATTACAATGAATTGGGAGAACATCTGCTCCGTGGGGGCAAGAATAATATGCTGTGACAACATGAACAAGTGAAATAACGGGCCAATTACCTTAGTACAGAGACGAGGAGCTACACAACACAGCTCTTTGACATCATGGCACCTTACTGCCATGACTACGGGACAGACAGCCTTGCCTTCTAAGAGGCAGGAGGGAACAAAGACAACCCTTGAACAAAGGGGCTGGCTGTGATCTAGCCCTCTCTGACTCAAAAAAAAAAAAAATGATAGCTTTAATACTAACTCACACATGCCCACCTTCACGCTCCCTTTCAAACTTCGTTGAGGAAGGAATGAAAAACGGCAAGGGACAGACATTAAGAAGAGGACCCTTCCTCAAGAAGTACTTGACTCGACCATGACAGAAATGCCCCTAGTGATATGCGTCTTGTTGAGTAACACAAAGAAAAGGAGAGGGTGAACAAGGAGAAATTGAAGAATAGCAAAGCCCACCTATTAGTGCCATCCTGGAGAGAGGACATGATGCAGTAGGTACTAAGGAGAAGGTTGTTGCCTGGATGAGGGATGTGGGGAGGGAAGTGCGACGCGCGTCCTACAAAGGCCTATGTGAGAAATGCCGTGAACAATGTCCGGAGGGCATTTTATTGAATTGCATTTTTTTTAACTTGGCCTGTGATTTTATTGGGATAGGGAGCTCCTAGTAAGGGTCTCTCTCCCTCAGTCCAAAAGAACATCTTTACAACTTATACAATCTTGGAGAGTTACTTAGAGCACTGAGAGATTAATGATTTACCAAGGGTCATATGTATATACATATAGACATACACACATATGTATGTCTCTCTATATGCACATATATACACATTAAAGACATATATACACATATATAGACATATACGCACATATGGACATATACATACCCAAATATATAGACATATATACACAGACATATATACGCATATACACACATATGTAGACATACATACACTTACATATATAAACACATATAGACATATACACATATTTATATATGTATGTATATCTATATCTAGATATATAAACACACATAGGTAGATAGATAGACAGACAGACAGATGGATATAAATATCTCCAACATGTGATAGAGATGGGAATTGAACCAACTAGTCTTCATAACTCTGAGGCTAGCTCTTTCTACAAAGCCAAGCTGACTCTCCACAGCAGTTATTATGCTGTATAAAAAGGTATACTTTCAGCAGGAATATATCTATGTATTTATTTATAAACATATTATATATCTTATATATAACATACTATTATATGCTATATTAATAAATATTATCAAATATAAATATGCTATTCTAGTAATATTATATTAACACATCACATATCAACAAATATATATTTATGTTTATATATCATATTATATTAAATATACAATAATAAATATATTATTTTATATAATAAATATATCATTATTATGAATATATTTACATTACATGGCAAGAGGGCAATAATATCATTGACTTAGAGTACATACAACTAATGGAAGGAGTCCTTAACTTGGAGTGCACAGACCCCTGAGGGGGTCTGTCAGTAGATTTCAGGGGGTTCATAATCTTGGGACTTTTTACATATTGAGAATTAGATTTTAATATAACTTGTAAATTAATTATATTAACATATCACATATTAACAAATATATATTTGTGTTTATATATTATGATATAATATATTAAATATATAATAATAAATATATTATGTATATATAATAAATATATCATTATTATGAATATATTTAAATTGCATGACAAGAGGTCAGCCAAGAATATCATTGGCTTAGAGTACAACTAATGGAAGGGGTTCTTAACTTGGAGTGCACAGACCCCTGAGGAGGTCTGTCAGTAGATTTCAGGGGGTCCATAAACTTGGGACTTTTTACATACTGAGACTTAGATTTCAATATAACTTGCAATCATATATAATTTGTAATCATATATATAATCATATATATTTTTGTAATATATACTTTGTAATCATGTAGTTTGTAATCATATATATTTTATATATTATGCATTTAAAAACAATATTTTGAAAAAGGGTCCATAGACTTCACCAGACTACCAAAAAGAGGTCTATGTTATTTAAAAGGTCAAGAACTCTTAAACTAAGAAAAGGCTGGTTCAGGCCACTTCACTAATAATAAGATCAATATGATTACTGACATTTAGACAACACAGCTCTTTAACATTTGTGAAGTGTTTTGTATTCCTCATTTATAATAATAATATCAGCTAGCATTTAGATAGCACTTCTAGGCTTCCAAAGTACTTTACAAATATCATCTCATTTGATCCTCACAACAACCCGGGAAGGTAGGTAGGTCCAGAACAACAACAACAAAATCCCATTTAAATCCCTATTTCACTGGCTGCAAGAAGTACTGGAAGATGAGCCATCAATGACACTTGTCTGTCTCTGACTTTTCCAAATGGCGGCAGCAACATGTTTAATTTTCATATGACACATATAATAAAGATCCTGTGAACACACTTCCCTAAATCAGGGTTAATATTTTTCTTTCCAAGGAACAACTGGTATAATAATACTTACTTGATAAGAGTTAATAGAACACTGCCTCCTGGATATTATCTATTATAGACTACATGGTACATTGTAACTGCTCTGCAATAATGACATGAAATGGAAGAATACATGTGTGCATGTATACATATGTGTGTATATACATATATGTATACAGGCATGTGTGGGCATATATGTATATGCACATGTATACATCTGTATAGACACACATGTATGTGTGTGTCTATACGCACAGCACATGTGTGCACAAATACATAAACATACATGTATGGCATATTTAAATATAATATTTATTTGAAATGAATAAAATCTGTAGTAAAATATAATGTCTAAATATATTTAAATATATACACATATATATCACCACATTTATCTATACAATAATGATAGCACAACCACCATCTGGGTCAAATCCTTAGTTAAAAAAACAAATGAATACTCTAAGATTTCGTGTTTATGGGCTAGATTTTGATAAGAGAATGGATTGATCACTAAAAGGAGTAGTGTCATTCACCCCAACCCTGGCTCACATGCTCAATGACTGGGGTGTGTGTGGGGGGAGAGTCTCATCAACATTCGCATCTTCTGATTTCTTGCTGAGGAGCTGGTACCATTTTGGGATAGTAATAAGAGGGTAGGACTTGGACTCAGAATACCCTAGATCTATATCACCCACAGAAGCCCAAAGAACCCAAGCGGCCAGCTAGCCAATTCACATACAAAAAGAATCCCCATTGTAACAGACTCAATACATGTTCTGTATGATTCGGGATAAGTTACTGAATCTCTGGACTTGAGTCCCCTCATCTAGAAAATGAAGGTGTTGAACTAGATGACTTTTGGGGTCACTTAGAGCTCTAAATCTATGGTAACATTAATCTAAGTCATGATTCATCCCAACTAAGTTAAGGAGGCACCAGGGAATAATATAATTTAGACTCTTAGAGTATTAAAACTTAAATGGGCCTGAGAAAATCACCCAACTCAAACCCCTCATTTTATAGATAAAGAAACAGGATATACAGGTGAAGTGATCTGTGCCCAAGGTCATCCAATGAGTTTGTGGCAGAATCAAGATTCCAGTCTTCAAGTCTGATGATGTTTCTATCACCCCAAGAAACTCTTTTTGCTGTGCTTCTGTGTCATCTTCCTTCCTCTGCCTTAATACACATTAATTGTTTCCAATTTCACTAATAAGGAAGTGACTATCCTGTCTTCACCGTTTCTGACCTTACTCTTTTGGACTACCGCTCCATTTATACATCTATAGGTTTCATGGAAGT